TACCAACAGTGGTAGGCCTTTATAATAGCACCTTGTTTACTATCTCAGGCATTTATCTTAGTTACTTTTAGTAGGTGCATCTTTTTTTTTTCTTCATAAAGATGTAGAATCCACAAGCTGAATCTGCTTTATTTTTCACTTATTATTCTGTAGAGTTGTTATCGCATAGTGTAATCGGATAGTTGGCTGCAATTGGATACCTGTTATCGAACTGTTTAAGCAGCCAATCATATTTAGTCCACTCAGCTAAATCAGTCCACCAACCACAGAATTGATCACAATGACCATAGCAACAACCACTTACCCTACAAAACTGGGGAATTTCCAAATGGAGGAATTGTTACTTCGATGTCTCTACAGGAGATATTTCCTCAAATAAATGTAGTTTTTTTTTTTCGCAAATTGTAATGGTTATCATTGATTGGTAACAGGACTTTGTTACGTCCAATTCGGTATGATACTCGTGATTAAAAAATCAAACTCTCGCTTCGCGGTCGTCCGATTTTATAATCATTGGTATCATTACAGAGCCGAATTGGACTCCACGCTGTCCTATTACTCATTACGGTCGAACCTGTATTAAGCAGCACCACATTAAGTTGTTACCCTGTATAAGTTGTAGGTTGTCAAAAGCCCGATTTTTCAACCTCTATTAAGCGGTCGCGGTCACCCTTGACTGAGTTTCAACGGCCATTTTCTTCTGTCACTTTAGTGGAACCACTCGAGTAATACTAAGAGTAACCTTTCTGGTAAAATCTACCTGATCCATGCTTATTTCCCGAAATCAATGTAAGTGGTATTTTTGAGCGTATTTTTGTATACGCAGAGGTCAATTTATGGGATAAAATGGCCTCTTTTATCGTTTGATATAACTCTGCTTTTCTATGAAACCTGTATTTAGTGATCAACCTGTATAAATCGGTCATTTAGCCATTTTTTTTGCGGATGACCGCTTAATACATGTTCGACGAATATTAACTGCAGTTCATGTCCTCTTGTTCGACTGTCTTAATCAAATCAAACGCTAACCAACGAGTCCAGCTCGTCATGAAGAGATGGTCACTTGGTCGAACCTGGAGTGGCATCAGTTATTATGAGGGTCTGGATGGGGTTCACTGACAACTGACAAATGGTTAGAATTTTTTAACTGACGAATAACAAATCACTGAAAACCTAACTGACAACTGACATTTGTGGCGCGCTTTTACTGACAGCTGACAAAAGACTGGATCTCCCTAAATATCCTTAAAACTGCATATAAAGTAGGGATGGTTGATTTATTTTGTCCAATAAAAGTACGTTTTCTATTACATATGGAGTACGCCAGAGTGTCATATTTCGTTAATAATTACCGCATGGACCATCCACATCAATGTCATGTCACATATCGCTTATATGATCTTTGATACCCAACTCGATCGTCAACTCTGCGATCGATGGCCATCAATGCTGGTAATTAAAAGCTGTTGGAAGCTTTTATCAAATTGATTCGGAAAAGGCATTTTAGCGCCTAGGAACGTGACACATGGCACATTTTTTGAGGACTGTATTGTTGAAGTGGCAGTTGCTGAGATGCGAACATATGCAGACGAATGTGACATGGACTCAGAAAACGACTTTTCTGACTGAGAGGATAAAGATATAATACCCTAATTACGGTTTTCTAGATCCGGGCGGCCAATTCGCGCCCATTTTCGCTTGGATTTCTAAGGCACTCCTACATTAAATATCTCTAATAACCTAATTGAAAAGTTGACAAAAGAACATTCCTTTCCGATCATTTCATCGGAGCCAATCGCAATCGACGTATTGTAAAACAAAGCATTAAACCAATATCTGTTAGAAGTAAGATCGTCTTTCTGACGATCTTCTTTCCAACATTTTGACCGGCTAAGTGGTTGAAAAGGAATGTTTCAATGTTACGCACGGGCAAACAGAAGTTTGTGTGCAGAAGAGTTGTAACTTACTTAAACACCATTCAAACAAAGACTGAAAGTAACTTGTAAGATCTTGGAATTATTTCATTTCAGAATTGAGAAAAAGGAGTTCTTATTTTATCAATTTTCGACGTCATTCTAGAATTCACGCTATATGTGTCTTTTTAGCCAACAATAGGGTCGGAAAGTAATAATTAACTTGCCAAGTAAATTATTAACAATCATTTAACTGACAACTGACAAATGGCCTAAAATCTAACTGAGAACTGATAAATGACCGAAATTTTAACTGACAACTGACAATTGTACCCCCCTCATCCAGACCCTCTATTATGTACTGCTCATTTCTCATTCCAGACAAGTTTGCAAATATAGCTTTTAAAAGTTGTCGATTTTTGAAGCACTGACCGCTGAAAATCTCCACCCTCAGAATTACACCATTGATTTTTTAACTTTGACTGGGAAATTTCCACTTTTCTGATAATCTTCAAAAAGATGACACTAACTGTTTCCTTGTCTGTGTTCATTTTTCTTCAACTTACTGGTTACAAAGAGAGGCGTTAACTTTTCAAATTTTTATTGCCCTTGAAGAATGTTTTTAACAGATACATTGTGTACCAATGAAATAATCGCTTCATAAAGAACACTCCGGCTTGTCATCTTGGCTCACACCAGTCTCGCCAGTTCAAAACCATCTGCAAGGTTTAGCAGCATTGAACATGTCTTAGCAATGATAACTCGAAAAAGGAGTCACTCATTATAACTACCAGTTTCCTTCTTTGAACTGTAAAGGTGCATTAACTTTATCGGCTTTAGGCAATGTTGTTTTCACCTGAATGGTAAGCTACGCGCTTCGACAGACCCCCCTCAAGATGCGGCAGATATTAGATTATTTTTGTTGCAATTAGTGCGGACATAATTGTTTAATCGTTGCTATATTCAAGGCGATCAGTCTAATAAATCAATCTCAATCAAGGAGAAGCGCAAAAAGCAATATTTTTTTCTCCGGCGTGCATATTTGGGTAGATATCTTCTAATCTTCTACAGCGTTTAGAGGCATACGCTGGCAGGCAGCATGCGCAGAAGCTCCGCTTGCACTTACCAACAGAGTCCGCACATTCGTCTGCAGCCAATTTTGTAGTACAGCTTTTTGCAGTGAGCACGCACACGCCGAGCTATGCTACAGGCTTGGAAGGGAAACCTGTCACCACATGAACGGCTCTCTCGAACTACTATGGAAACATAAGTAAAGAATACAATAATGAACAAAGAGAAACTACGAATAAGCAGTCTAATGGACAGCATTTGTTGTTACCGTGAGGAGTAAGAGTTCATATTTGAAAGATAAATATTTTATTGAATTTCTTTTTGGGCTTACCGAACCGCCTACTGAGATGTAAGGAAAGGCCGCAGACTGCCATATGCTGCTTAGAATGATTACGGAGATTAAAATGTCTAGCGACTGGTTTGGATGCGTCCTTGTCGTTCCTTTCTACGTCGCGACGGTGTTCTCGGAATCGGTCACCTAGTCGTCTTCCCGTTTCACCAATGTTTATCTTTTTTACAAAAAGTGCAAGTTATACAGTAGATGACATTGGTGGAGTTCGACGTGAAATGGTCAGTAATTTCAGTGGATCGCCTGGGTCCCGGTATTTTCTTGACGTTATGAATGAAAGGGCAGTTTTGCACCGTGCGCGCGCGCATTCAAAAGTTCTGGGTTGATCATCACATCTTAGTTTGTATCGAGATAACACTACTGCCGGTTATTTCTCTGAAATACTCAATCAGACGTAAGGCAATCTTAACTTCTAATTCGACAAACAAAATGATCCGTAATTGTCATTTGGTATTTTATTGTGTGTGATTCTATCGTTCTGGTAATGGTTGAATTAGTTAGCAACCAGAAGTTAATGATTCCTATTCACGTCCTTTTCTTTTTTAACAAAAAATGCTGTTAAGCCATGTAGGAATCATACTGATCAGTGACAGTAAGTTCAATATACAGAAAGGCTTCGGAAGAAAGGGAGTATGCACTTACATTGGATGACGTCCCTCAAGGCCGAGCTGTTGAGCCCATGATTTTTGTCCTTTTCTAATGCAGCACATACGACCAACAAGGTGACGAAAGCTACCACGGGCCTCATGCTCATTGTTACGATGTGCTTCACTTCAAAACGTTTTTCAAAGACGTATAAAGAAGTGAATGCTAACAGAAGATCAACTCGATGGCATGAATGTTTAATGTTTTGTTTCCAGAGAGTATTATCAGTTTGCTGAGCGTGGTTAGTTTTAGTTCGTTTCTTCCTCACGTGCATTTGAAACAACCAATGATTTTCTTAGAGTTTGTAATTATCATGACACGTGGTTTATATTTTGTGCCCATTGACACCCGTGAATTGTAACAAAATTTATAATTGGTGGCCCAGAGGGCAAGTAGAGATCTTATCGTGAGTCAAATCATCAAAGTAAGACTTTTAGATCAATCTTTGGCAAGTTATGTTGACCTCACCCCACAAAATGCGTAATTACTGGTTTATCTCATCGAAATAATGATCTTTTCTCCGTTAATTTGAGTTTCTGGTCGTGGGAAGCTTCTGCTTCTTTTTGTATTTCTTTTTTTTGCTAATTTTTTTGCTATGAAGTTTTTCTTCTAAAACCTAGAAACAATACTGACGAAATTTTAAACGTTCACCTGAATCAATAAATCCGGAGTCTACAAGAAATAGAGCAACAGAAAGCGAACGTCGTTCAATTTTGTAAATGATCGTTCGTGACGAGCAACGTCTGAAGAGTCTGTAGAGCACATATTTTAGTCTTGCAAGGATTTTACAGTACTTGCACTACTCATGATGTTGATAATAACAGTAACAATAATTCCAAACGATAATAATCATAATAAATAGTTTATACAGCGAAATATTCAAAAGCCCTTTAAATTCAACACTATTCTCAAGCTAACAGCTTTCCTGAAGAGAAGTGGCGTCGAGGCTGTAACAAGGTCTTATCGTACAACATCAGACCGATCAAAAACTTCCCTTCCGTCCGCCGGTATGACTATCAAACCCGGACTCGAAATTGCGCACTCCTCTTAGTGACAGTGTCACCAATAACAATATAATAAATGAACATCTTCTCCTCTCTCACAGGTGTCAATAATTGAGAGGTCAGTTTTCGTTTCATTAAAAGATTAGCAAAAACTCCAAGAACGACCATTAGTGATGCAATTCACGATCACAGAAACTGCGATGATCTCCTAGTGAATGGAGCAAGGTGAAAAGGAAAGCTAGATATTGGTGTAATCAGCATAATTGTATAGCAGGTAGTTAGTCCGAAACTGTCAACATAGCTGTTATTCTTTAATTTAACTGGTCAATTGATCATAAATTTGGATAGTTTCAAACTGTCCAAATTAATCCTGACTGAGAAACTGACTAGCCATATAATTAATAACAACGTGAACCACGTGCTGTCTAATTTGGAAGCAACCGGACTAAAAAAATCTCCTCTAACGACCAAATTGGACTCGGCCTGCAACCTCGTCCAATTGTAGCTGTCCTCATAATTCCGGTCAAGATGGTCGGATATTAGCCTCGTTCTTTTTTCTGCGTTTTAATGGACCTCGACTTCGTCTCCGTCCATAAAAAGCAAAAAGAGAATTCGCGGCCTATATCCAGTCATATTGACCTCATGCTTGGTCACGAACGCATATTTCTACCCTTATTCGCTTTTGTTTCGGGTCTGATGTCTCTATAATTGAAAAGTCCAATTTTAGTTCCCATATTTAATCATGATGATTAGTTTCTTGGAATTGTTGGTGATCCATCAAGTAAAGACCTGCCTGTAGTGTTGCTGTTTTCAGGTGATATTAAAGGATTTACTCACAGCCTGAGTCCAGTACTTTTGAGTCCAGTACTTCTGAGTTCCTCTCTCTTTCCCCAGAGTTAGCTGAACAAACCAACATGGTCGCTAGCAAAACAATAAGAATCTTCATGTTGCACAATGAGCTGAATTCCTGCCGTGAAGAAAGATGCCAAGTCATTAATTCTGAAAGCACCCGCTAAGGGGTTTCATCATGATAATGGCGCAAAGTTTATACCCCATGTAGTTTGACCTTTCTTGAAAGCATCCTCTGACGTTTTACGTGAAGGGAGATCGCTCACGGAGAGATGGTCTGTGGTTCTGGAGTTGTCGTGGTTAGGAACTATATTTGAATTTAGACAAGATCTCAAAACAATCTAGAGAAATACCAGTACTGACACGCAACTTTAATGAAATTGCCCTCTGGCACCAAAAAAGGTTTTATGTGTATTTTAAACAACAGTGCTTGACAGCCTAAATCACTAGAGAAGGTTTGGGGTCTTTGATATTTGAATGGCGAAGGTTTCGCTTTTGGGAAATCATAAAGGGGACTTGTAGATTGTGTTTAGCGAAGTTGATTAGAGGAGACTCGTGATAGAATCACAGTTCTAAGACCCACAAAGCTAGAACGACATTCATGTTCCCTTAAGAATCTGGCTTTGACTTTGTTTAAAAACTTCGGCAGGCGAGGGGAAGGGAGAACATTTCGCGAACGATGATTTGACCGAAGGATTTATTCTTTGCAGCTTACAAATATGTCGAAGTATTAACGATCTTCGCTAATTTTAACAGATGATGACGATTTCTTTACAAATGTAATACTTTTAAGGCTGGATGGAAATATCTTTTGTTTTCGATATCAGGCGACCTTTGTAAAGGCGATAGTTCATCAGAGGAAAACAATTTAATCAATATTGTTTTGCTCTTTCTTTATGAACTTCATTTTTACCTGTTAGTTTGAAAGGGGATAGAATACCAAATTGTTCTTTACCTTGATTTTCACTACACAGTAGAATTGGTCGTTTCTGAAAACTCTTCTAAGAATTTCGTAGAAGTACAGAAATCAAGGATTGTGAATTTAATCGAAATGAGGTATAAACTATAAGAGAAGTCCCATCGAGAGTTTCATCAACTCTTGACAAGGCATGAGTCTTTTTAAGAAATACATTGTCTTAAGCGAACACTTTGAATTTATTCATAATTTGATAAATATTGTCGGCTTTTAAAACATATCGGAACAAGACGATTTCGCCTTTTCTGTCCGTTAAGCGCGATCTCTGCCAACTAACCTACATAATAACAAATTAATGCTGCTTCTAATGCCAATATACTTCCACGCCCTTATTAAAAATGTTTCAAAAGAATCCTTCTAACGATGTGGCCACGCTTTCGCTGTTTCACGCGTCGCGTCATTAATGAACTACCCACTTCTTTCTCTCTTTTAGCGTCAGTTGCTAAACCTTTGAAATATCGTAGTCTGTATGTAAAATTCATGTTTGTTTTTAAAAGCGCATTTTGTAAAGTGCCGAAACAAAAAGAGTCTAATTCATTATGTGTGCACCTGTTTCATCTCAACAAAGATGGCAGAGTACAATATAGTTATCGTATTTCAGCCATACAATAAGCCGCTTAGTTTTCAGCAGTGCTCTTTGTTGTTAGGTGTAAACCCATAAGTTACCAACCGCAGCGTAGAGTTTAATTTTTTGGTGGGAATTTGGTTTCCAATTCATTTTGGTTCCTTCTTCTTTGTTTTCCCCTCAATTATTCGAGGTTACAACACATCAGGGCTCTTTCTCTTCAGTTGTACCAATCAGAAATTGGTACAACTGACTTAAATATCCTCTGTTTGAGACAATTCTTTGTGCGATGCACTACAATGTTGATTGGTACACGGACCATAATTCATGGTACTATTTTTTAAAATACTGGGGCCTCCTACTCACGAAATAATAATCGGGGGGAAAAATTAATAAATAAACAACACTTGTAGATGGGCATAAATGCTTTTTTCTTGAACTTTGGTGTGAGCATTAATTCAGTCCTTGAAAGTTGTAAAATATGTATGGAAACAGGCGCGTAGCGTCCTCTACGCATATACGCACGTGCGTACTTGAAGTGACCAGAAAAATTTGAAAACAATGTTGTGTTTGCGCCAAGTTTGCTCAATATAAGGGCAAGACGCTTTGTTCTTTGCTTGTATTCATACAATTAATTCAAACAAGAAATAAAAAACGCAGTATTTTTTCGCTCAGTTTACTTAGTTTTATAGATCATATGTACTTGTGCGTACTTGAAAAAATGACCACGTTACGCGCCTGAGAAATATGTCGAGCAATAGCAACAAGGCGGTAGAACCTACCATAAAACACGCTGCCATTCAATTGGATTTTACCAAAATGGTAAAAAATATATACAACAAAAACACCCAACAAATGTTTTCATATTACACATACTTCCTTTGTTGTAAGAGTTCTTTACCAAAACTCACTGCTTAACATATTTTTAAGAGGAAAAGTATCCTCTACTGCTATGGAGTTTATTGATACATTGTTTGTGGAAGAGTTTCTTGAGGATTTGTTTATGCTTTTGAATTATTCTGAGTACTTCTGTGGGTGTGCCTTCTAAATATCTTTATTTGTAAGACCACGAAAGCTATTTCCTGCCGTAAAACATCGTAAAGTTTGATTATTTTCGTGTTTTCTTTGTTCCAATAGGATTCCATCGGTGATATTAACTTATCTTACTTTTTATAAACATTTTATGATCGGAACTGGTTGTTAGGTTCCACGTATAGAGATTCAACCGAACGTGGTGATGAAACGAAAACGAATTCAATAAGACAACTTTCCGAAAAACCGATAACTTTCGTATTCTTGCGGTTTTTCAGGTTATTTGCTTCGCGGAGGTACAGCTACAGAAATCTTCTGAATATGGAAAATGAAGACCTGGCAGCGTCGTTAGATTTCTTGGGAAACTCTAATCCAAAATCTAACAGTACAGTGAAATGTGGAATTAACAGCAAAAATCGAAAACTTTCACGCCTTGACTACTGTGTTTCTTCATCAGGGTCTGAAAAAGGTGCCTTGCCATCGTTAATTCACCAGCGAACCGTTTACTTGATAATCAAGAATATTCAATGAGTCTCTTTAAATGTAAAAACTTAGCCGTTGGTCTTATAGTACGGAACGGCATTAAGAGAACAAGGGCCAAGGGTAGCTCACAGAAAATCAGTGATAACACAGTCAGTAAAGTAAAAAACACCCCTTACCTCGCCAAGTCGACCTTCGATGAAGGGAATTTGCCGTTATCTGAAAACTCAGGGATCGGCAGTCTTCTTATGTAAAGCGCTCATCATTTGATTAGCGCCAATCAAATTTTTAGCTTTGTCGACTGTCGCTCTGAATGCAAACAATATTCACACTTAAGTTAGGCAAATGAGCTCTATTGGTCGGAAATATCGCTGAAAGACCTAAATGATTTTTGGTGTTCAATTCATACAATAAACAGGCATCAGTCTAATCACCTGTTTACATAATCAATAGCTTGTCAGGCTATGATGAAAACATTGCCAATGTAAATGATTTCGAACTAACTTAGCGCGTCAAATAAATTTTATACTTGTTATGTTTATGGCAATGGATCTGTCAATGGTTCTTATTGAGCTAAATGTGAATTATAATGCAGCAGGTGCTGCGGTTCTGCTATAACAACCGTCACCAAATAGCACATCTCCTTCACTTGCGAGTGCATCGATCATCGAGACTAGTAAGTACATGACAGTGTTCTTCCTTGAATTGAAAGAAAAAACAAGATTAACAATATAAACTTAGTAAAATAAAAAAAAAAGATGAACTATATAAACCTAGTAAAATAAAAAAAAAAACTCTGTCATTGTTTGCATATCCAAAAATAAGCCGCTCTTTCATTGTTTTTAATCTAAATGAGAGCTTCGTCTCTCTCGTCATAGGTTTAGTTCTCCATTTTCATTCACGTATCGCACAATTACAGGGCTCGTGCGCGGCTCAGGGTTCCGACTGGTAATTAGCAATTACAGCTGTAAATAAAATCAGGTATTTTAGAAAAAAACATGAAAACTCATCGATTGACAACACACCTGTAAGAAGTTTTTGTGGAACTGACATTGACATTTAAAACTTGAGCAGTGCGGTGACTTTCTAACGATCGTAAATTCCAACCTCTAATAAGGCAATCTTCGTGCATAATAAGCATGCTTTAATGTATTCATTGAGGTGACAAACCATAGAAACACTGATAAAATGTTTTGTATACTTTTCTCAAGCTACGCATGTTAAAACATATTCTTGAAATGCCAAGTTTGAAAGTGTTTCAAGGAGGTAGCTGACCAAAACGCGTTATCAACGACATTCGAGTCAAGCTTGGCCGTCTCCGAAATGAAAGGTGGCGGGTAGTATCTGAAGACCCAAATCAAATGGATCGTAAAATTAAAGTACGTAAACAAAAGATGACTGTCTAACGGGTTGCAATGAAGAAAACGTAAGTGATGAAAGTGCAAACCATCAACATGAAGCGGAAAAATAAATTTCGTTTCCACATGCTTTTTCATGAGACATCGCGTTACAAAGCATTGCAAGTCCGGCTTAGAACCTTCCTAAGGGGAACCTTTCATTATTAAATTGGAAATGGTTAAAACGATTTGTTAAAAGCTTTACTTTTAGAATCCTAATTATTTATATCTCTCAGCGTTAGGATTAGAGGGTAAAAGTAAAAGTTATTTCCAGTTCAATATTCGTAGATTAACAGACAAGTCACAAAACAATGAACTGTGTTAGCATTTGTCAAAAACAATCGTTTGTGATAAATTTCGTTGATTTCAGTTGGCCTATGTTTCACGAGCCGAGCAGGGTAAAAATTTCGTTAGCTGGTAATCTTAGAAAGTAGTCAAAACAAAGCATTTTTTAAAATATAACTCAACATTTTGAACAGATCACGATCAAAGAAAATTGGTGGAAATTCATGGATTGTTTTCAACTCTTACACTTTAGTGTTCCTTTCAAAGTTGCATTTTAACATTTTAAATTCAGATACTCTCTTGGTGAAAAAAGCGTTTTCACTCTGATTGACTTATTTTTTTGTTAATTTTATTCAAAAAAGTTTAAAAAGTGTAGAGATAATCAAATGAAGTAACCATAATACTTGCAGACTATAGGTATCGCATACCTGTATAGGTGGTTTGCATGTTACGTCATAGCCGCCATGTTGGTGGACGTAAACAATAAATATCTCATTAGCTTCTTTTGTTTGTCCACCAGCA